TGGCGGTAGCACTTTTAGCTGTAGCTTAGCATAGATCATTGAATCTGATTAGACCGTTAGCATCTCGCTCAAAAATGACCAAAGAGTTTCTATATTTTTCCTATTTAAAACTTGACTCTTCTGTAGTTACATCGTGCACTAAGACCGACGGAACTTTGCTGCCATACCATGGGTGCAGCAGGCGCAATGATATTAGTCTGAAAATAGGCTTATTGGAAGTTACCTAGCTGGGACTATTTTCAGGCACTGTGTAATATCATTGCGCCTGCTGCACCCATGGTACGGCAGCAAAGTTGCTTGATTATTACGCCGGAATGAGAGGATAGTTCCTAGCCATATCGGCCTAGAAAATCACAACTTTTCATTTTCCGTCGGTCTTAGTACACGATGTAACTACAGAAGAGGCAAGTTTTAAATAGGAAAAATATAGAAACTCTTTGGTCATTTTTGAGCGAGATGCTAACGGTCTAATCAGATTCAATGATCTATGCTAAGCTACAGCTGAAAGTGCTACCGCCAGACCCGGAGATCGGCTGAATGGATTCGAAAACGGTAAAACTCAACTGTTTAACTCCAGGGGAGTTGGAAAATTAACCTATTTTCAAAAATAGTGGAGTGTTCCTTTAATCAGGAGAGAAATATGCACAGATCAAGCAACAATTACAATAAAAACAGTTCTAAATAAATATTTTTGTGTATTTTGATGTGAGAGGACAACAGGAGACAACAGGACTTTTGCACTGGAGGAAGCGTTATTATAGATTACGGCCAGAAGAGACGGTTTAAAGTTAAAACGTCTTAATGATGGATTTGTTTCCTACAAGCATTTGGCTTCACAAGATGTTAATGGAAGGACTGGAGTGGTGTGGATTATTGTGATGTTTTTATCAGCTGTTTGGACTCTCATTCTGACGGCCCCCATTCACTGCAGAGCATCCATTGCTGAGCAAGTGACGCAATGCTACATTTCTCCAAATCTGATGAAGAAACAAACTCATCTACATGTTGAATGGCCTGAGGGTGAGTGACTTTTCTGCAAATTTTCATTTTTGGGTGTATTACTCCTTTAATAAAGGAATAAATTACCCAAAAATTAAGTATTAAATTACAATTGGTCATCGTCTTATTTAAACTCTCTCTTCTCAGGCCTATCTGCTAATAGAAGAGGATATTCTTGATCTTGCCCGAAGTGAAGACTACAAGTAAATAAACATTTTCTTACTAAATAAAACATATGAAAGACTGATGAATGAATTTTACAGACAACATGCATCATGAAATTTTCTTTGAATCTTAGGGACTGTCCTGACTTGAAGCTGGATGAATTGAAATCATTTCTAGTGCCAATATGGATGGTGGAGAAGATGCAGAAGGCGATGGAAGCACAGAAAACAGAAAATGATCTTGCCGTATAGTGCCACGCAAGTCCTTGGACCACAGACACTCTTGAGTGTTACCAATTTATCATAACTGTAACTTTTTGTTGTTTATTTTGTTTGTGCGATGTTCATAGTAGACTCAGGCATTATGATCAAGTTGCCCAGAAATTGTTGCATTGGGGGTTTACTTGGCAAATCAAAATTCCACATTTCATTTCACACGCTATTGTCTAAACTGGTGTAGATCTGATTTCTTTTTTCTGGCAACAAATGTGTGCTTTCTTCATGACTTGGTTTTTAAAATACTTGAATATCTAATGAGGCACCTATAGAGCCTTAATGATTTTTTTTTAAATACTGTGGTTAATGGACATTTTGTATGTTTGTGTTTGTGTTTCCCATGATTCTATGTCCTATTTTTTTTAAACAAATTAATTTTATGAAATGTCATATCTGCTTTAAAATGGAGTTTATCTAGTTATTTTCATTTCCCACTTATTTCTCTTTTTAAATATATTGCATATATTGCAAAACAAAACTAAGAAGCTACTTCTCGCTCAGCAGAACTATACGAGCCGTGATGGTTTTTACCTTATAGTATCTTTTGTAACTTAAATGTTTTTTTTTTTAATGAAATTTTAAAAATGTAATTGACTGATTTTAAAAGTATTTAAATTATTTTCTAAATTAATTTCATACCCGTTACACTCACCTAATGTCTGTTATAACTGAAAATGTAGAACAGTTTATTAATGTATGCAAGTATATTTACCAATAAACAGTTTTGTGCTAAATGGTGTTTTTAAATGAATACGCAAACTTGTAACTAGTCAAACTAGTTCGTTTGGTGCACTGAATGACTCAAACTACTCAACGGTTATAAACACACCCACCTGGCCGTATTACCCAATCGAATCAAAGTGTTGTGCCTAGCATCAGTGCTGATTGGTTGCTAAGCGTTCGCTTTGTTCGTAATCTGTGCTTCTGATTGGTTGAACTAAGGCGGAGAATTCCGTTGGGCAACCTAAGTTTAAACGGGGCGGGATGTGATTTAAACATTTCGTACAGCGATCCGTTAGTGTTGTCAACTGCACTGAACACAGCCGGTAATAATACGAATCATTTAAATAATACTCCTTTTAATGTATATATATATATATATATATATCAGGATGATTTATATACGTTTTATTGTTATGTAGCGGTATAGTTGGTATAGATCTGTGTTTTAAATCGTTAGTTTTATATGACGCTTGCTTTTATGTACGTCGGTTTGTTTAGCTTATCACCGGCTGCTATATTTTGACTAGGCCTATAGCCGTTTACCTCACATTCGAATGAGAACCCGTTAACTACACGAGGACGAAAACGAAGCAATTTCAGTTCTGCTAACGTTAGTTCTTAAAAACGCAGTTCGTTTCAGCCTCCAGTTTCCATTCACTCGATTCAGTTTCCTTCCGCCGGTTAGTTTAGCCATGTTGACATGAAGCTCACTAACGCAAAGTATACAACGCAAACGAGCTTTCCGTGTTGTAAGCCGCTTTGACTGGTGTAACGTTAGATGTGCTTGTTTTAACAAAGTGTTTTTCCTCCTGTCAACCCATCGCAGATCTGACGCGATGGCCTCTCAGAATATGGACCCCGCAGCAGCCTCGTCCACAGCAGCGCTGAAGGGCAGCGAAACTAGCGGAAGCGTGTCGAAAGGATCCGTCACTAAAAGGTTTGATTGCTGATCATATTCCCTTTAAATGTTCTAAACGCTTCTATGTGCGACACACTGGCCGTTCTCCGAAAGAAATGCATGTAGGATTCCTATCGGGATTTATTTCATAACTTGAAATAAATTCTAATGGAATCAAATAATATTCTTCTGTAACAACTACAGTTCCTACAGGCTTGTTTATTCTTTTACTTTCGGTTGGAAAAAGTGTATTCTTAATCGGAACAGTATTTGTATTGAAATACTGTGTATTGCACTGGAGTTAAACCATATCAAGCTAGCAAGAGTCCTGCTCATCTGTCAGTACTGTTTATTGAACTTGTAATAAAGGCAGAATCACAAGAAGTTTTGTAACGTATGATTTCTGATAAAATTGTAGTTTTTCCCTCGCAATTATACGGTCAACCAACAGTATTCAGTGCATCTAACTTTGCATGTAATCAAACAATTCACAGATTATCTTTCCATGTTAAAGAAATAACTCTGGGGTTTATAAGATGTTTTAAAGCCTTTAAATGTGTTGTGATGTCCAACAGGAACGTTTACGTTATTGGTATTCATAATTGAGAGCTAGAAAGTACTTATAGTTTGAATGGAAATCCATTACAACTTTTTGTGCCTAGCGGACGCTAGTTTCTCCATTTTTTTTTTTCACTGCGGTTAATACCATTTTTGCATTAATTTTGGCATCTGAAATGACAAAGACTGTCATTTAAAATCACATATATA